TACAAGTATGTTAGTTTTCATGATGTTGCTTATTGGGCTCGGAGTTTCGATCAAGACCTCGAGCGGGCTTGTAAGGAGCATTTTCACAAACGGTGTTGGGGAATCGGGCTCGGTTTAAGTTTTCGGGTTGTGGCTCTCGGTCCCAACTTCCGGAAACTATCGATCGAACATATTGTATCTTCGTATAACAAGACAAATAGTCGGTTGATTTTGCTTGATTATGATGGCACTATAATGCCACGGGCTTTGGTTGATAAAACGCCGAGTAAAGAAGTTATTTCCGTATTAAACGCATTATCAAACGATCCGAAGAATGTCGTGTTCATTGTGAGTGGTCGAGGGAAGGATTCACTCGGCAAGTGGTTTAATTCATGTCAGAAACTCGGTTTGTCGGCTGAACATGGTTATTTTACGAGGTAACGACGCTATCGATGGTCGAAAACATTGTTCCTTTTTTTGCTGTGATCTTGTTTTCGTATTCTTTATCATTTGTTTTTATCTAACGTTAGGTGGAATGGGGACTCCGAATGGGAATCTTGTGGCCTAACGGTGGATGTTGGGTGGAAGAAGGTGGCGTTGCCCGTGATGGAGCATTATACCGAGGCAACCGATGGTTCATTTATTGAGCAAAAAGAAAGCGCGTTGGTATGGCATCACCAAGAAGCCGATCCCGACTTCGGGACTTGGCAGGCTAAAGAGTTGCTGGACCATCTCGAGAGCGTACTTGCTAACGAGCCCGTTGTAGTGAAACGTGGACAACAAATCGTCGAAGTGAACCCGCAGGTAATTAATGAAAAACAACTTTTTTAACTTTTATGATCGGATAAAGATAAGGGCACAGACCGGTTCAAAAAATCTCGTTAACAATTTAGAGCGGATAGTCTAATCTTTTTGCCCATCTCTAGTTAGAAATTGTAAAGGTCTTATATGACGTAATTCTCTCATGTCTATTTACAGGGTGTGGGCAAGGGAGTGGTGGTGGATCGGCTCGTCACAACAATGCAAAACAACGGAAAACCGCTCGATTTCATTTTGTGCATCGGTGACGACCAATCAGACGAGGACATGTTTGAGAAAGTCTCGAGTTCGGTTGCAAATGGGATCGCCGAAGTATTTGCCTGCACCGTGGGCCAGAAGCCGAGCATGGCGAAATACTATCTTGACGACACAGTAGATGTCATCAAGATGCTTCACGGGCTCGAAGCAACTTCCGCACATGTTTCAAAAAGTATCGGGTTTCACGTCGAAACCCGAAATTAGAAATACACAAGATAGAATTGAATCTTAGGATACAGCAAACCCCATATTTCCAGAGCTAGAATAATGAAATCCAAAACAATGTCCAATATTTACCACATCCAGTACAAGATGTTGTTGCATGAGCCATCTGGATTTAATGGTTTTGGCTCTGGGAAAAATGGATTTTACCTTTTGTACAGACCATACACATACAGATTGTTCTCAATAATTACTAAGTTGATTTTTTTACAAATTTTTTAGTTTAATTCTTATTCCAAAAAGGTCAAAACTCGTCAACGTTTTTCGTCAAAAGACGTGTTATGTACAAAATACGTTTCCGTTGACTTTGACTATTGACTATATCTAGGAGGGGATGACTGATTACGTTGACTTGATTGATGTGGTCAACCTTGGCTAAAACAAAAATTGATATGAAGTTCTCTAAATAACAATGTGTCGTCATCAATTAGGGGCTGTATATTAAACCCTAAACCTTAAACGTTTACTTGGTAAGTGTTTATTGGGTAATTTTTCTTACTGGATGAACATGATAAGGATAAAAAATCTTATCCGTTAAGAGCAATGATAAAGATGAAGAGTCCTACTCGGTAAGTGATGGTGATGACTCTTACCCGGATAAGCGCTTACCGGGTAAATTGTTGAATACAATACCATTTTGATGTACTATAACCTTATCAGGTAAAATAAATTACAGTGTTGACTCATAACAATAAGCACTTACCGGATAAACATCTAGGTAAACGGCCCTTTAGTCCACTTTAAGGATTGATATGATTATAATGAAGCGAAGATCTCATAGAATCAAACCGAGTATAAAAAGGTGAACATATTCGATAATTGAAAATACAGTTATCTGTAACATCCCAAGTACAAAGCAACAAATTCGTAGTTCACAACTTAACTGTATCATAAAGAGCTTATAAATCTCATTTTCTATACAGTAGATGCGTTGTTACATTGTTGGTTCGACCCGTAAGATTAATCGATAAGCCCATGAATAAAAATAATAATCATCACCAAGTTACTTGATCCTTGTATTTTTCAGAAATATGGAATCAAACGCACCACCAAGAACTGTACCCATCAATCGTCACTCTCAAAGATCCCCCATTGGTCGGTAGAGGTCTGGAGGGTTTTCTTTTCGCGCTGCCATTTGTAACGTTATGATGGATTTGTTGAGCTCCCATTGAAACTGCTTTCTTTTGGGCAGTTTTCTTCTCTTTTATATTGTTATAGGAATTGCTACCGAGTTGAAAAAGATGGGGCTTGTCAGGCATGTGGTTGATCTGAACCTTTTTCCACTCTAATGTTCTCGTAGGTTTGGATTGTTAGTTTGTGTATGTGAAAAAGGAAATGGGATTTGTTAGAAATTCAATCTTGAGTTATCTGGTGCTTTTGTTCCTCTACAGTTCATGTTAGTTTTATTATGCTTATAAAACATGCCCACAAACTGTTTGTATAAATTCCTAGCCCAGAAAGATTCATCAATTTTTCATTGAACTGATTTATTGAACATAAAAACAACAAATGGATTTGGGTAGTGTTAGCAAGTATGGAGTTCTTGATTTGGAATTGAAAGTGGATCCGGTGAGGATAGAAGGGGGTAGTTTCCAACATATATAGAGGTGAAATGGTCCAAAACTAGCCGACGTTAGACTCTTAAAACACGTATTTTCACAAACATGAAGAAAATTATTGCTTAACGATATATTAGAATCGATTTCTTTTATCAATCTAATTGCAACATTGTTCTCTTTACAGTGACTGAAACACTTTTTTCCTTCCATTGACTTTCAGCTACTAATACATGTTGAATATGGAGCTTGATTTGGGTGTAAACCAGTCTAAGGCATTTACAAATAGTTAAAAGGATGACCGGTTTTCTGTCTTGTAAAAATTCTTAAAGAAAATGGAGGACGTTCTTATTGACTTGAATCTGGACCAAACAAAATCACAAAACCGTTATTTCTAACCAAACAATCCCGGTATGTCCCACTGGAGGTGAGGTCCGGTAGTAGGATGTATGCAGACGTGACCTCTATTTCAAAGAGTAGGAGTAAATAGCGACTATTTCCACGAAGACCCCACTTTGGACGTATGATGTTTCTTGCAAATTGATTCATTTTGCTTTACTACGAAGATATTAGGTGCAAAATTGCTTTCAATAGATGAACACATGTCCTGGTGGATATCTATCTGCCAAAGTGAAATGCTTTTAGGATGTACATTCATGGTCTTGATTCACCCTTTAACTTCAATTATGGGAAATCTGAAAATGCAGCAAAGAAATATGTCGTCGCCTCAAGCTTTCTTCACAATTACTTCTTCGGTTTGTGGCGGTTCTTATAACACAAGCAAAGGTACGCGCTCCTCCCATTTACGTTTTGTATGTTACCGAACATGAAAATGTCTTGAAAACAGTCGAAGGTATCCATGGAAACAGTTTTCTTACCGGTGGGATAGTGGAAACGTCTGTGTATATCAAACCCTTAACCCTACTTTAAGGTGGGATATATTGGGTTCGTTTCATTTGATCTGGTTTACCTCTTTACGAGCCAAACTTTGTGGTTAACATATTTGAAAACATTATAACGTATTGTTTATGGAGTACGTCGATAGTCGAATATTTTTATCTGATTTAAAGCATGTGTAAATTAAAAGAAAAGAGAGAGGATAAAAGCATGGGGAACAAAAGCCTGCGAATGAACAAAAAGATGAACAACTTTTGAAAAGCCATCTTGTTATTTGTCATCCACTTGCTTTACCATCATATCATATTATTTCCAATGTTTCTAGAAAGAATAAGAGGTTGTTTACCGACACTTACAGGCCAAACGCTTACATGTAAGAGTCAACACTATCATTTAACTTACCAGAAAAGATTTTAGTCTATTAAAACGGTATCGTATACAACAATCTATCGTATACAACAATCTATTCAGTAAGCGCTTATCGGATAAGATTCGTTACTCTCACTTACCAGGTAAGACTTTCGGTCATTGTTATCGTTGTTACCGAGTAAAATTTTAGACCTTGTCATGTTCATCCAATAGAGTGAAGTGATGCGGTAAACACTTATTGGGTAAACGTTTGTTAAGACCCTAAGTTTACAGTAAAAACTATGCATATTCTAAATTACAACTAAGAGTTAGTTTCGTGTCGTGTTTCTTGATGAACTTTATTTACTCAATTAATGTCACAAAATGTTTAATTCTACATGTTACATATTTGTTTTGACTGATAACTGATAGATTTTATAATTGTTGATAACATGGATGCCGAGTAGGAAAGCTGTATTGTAATTCTTGAATATGTAAAAAAAATGTCACATCAGAATCAACAAATATTGTATAGTCAGGTAACTTCTTTTCAGGTTAAATAGGTATAAAATACGAAGAAATGAACTTTTGTTATTAATTGAGAAAAATTATTCAATGTTACACCAAATAGGAACTAAGATGAGCTTCATGACCTTACGATGTATGTTGTTGAGCGTAAATGAAGCATTTTATATGTTAAATGAATGTTTCTTGCATTCTTTTATATATATATATATATATATATATATATATATATATATATATATATATATATATATATATGGGCCATTCAAGGGAGAATTGATTAGTTTGTGGTAACTGTGAGATCCAATCTCAACCACAAATCAACGGATAAATTAGGAAATTAATAATTATGGTAGTTTGAGTTAAAATTCTAATTAGAGTGCATTTTAAGTATTTTAAAAAAAAACTCATCCCTCCTCTCTCCTCTGTCCTCTCTCATCTCTCCGACCTCCAATCTCCCGCCTCCGGTGAACATTAATCCGGCAGGTACCATGTAATCACAAATATACACAATATGATACCCATTGTGGTATACTGTGATACCATTGTGATACCAACTATGATACCAACTCAAACTTTAAAAACAAAGATACACAATGTGATACCCATTGTAATTCACAATGTGATACCCATTATGAGATACTGTGAAATACCGGAGGCCGGAGATTGGAAGTCGGAGAGATGAGAGAGGAGAGATGAGAGAGAAGTTTTTAAAAAATACCTAATATACTCTCTAATTATAATTTTAACTTAAACTATCATAATTATTAATTTCCTAATTTATCCATCGATTTGTGGTTGAGATTGGACCTCACAGTTACTACAAACTAATCAGTTCTCATTTGATTAGGCCCCTATATATATATATATATATATATATATATATATAGAGAGAGAGAGAGAGAGAGAGAGAATGTTTACTTTGCAAACCACGTTATTTGTACAAACCGTACAAACCTCATTCAATTAATCATAATTTTTTATTTTGTTCATTTTTTTTTTGGTAATTATGAGAGGTGGACTAATCATTTTTATTGTGAAAGGTGTTAATCATGGATATTATCATCTTCATTATTTTAATTTTAGAGAAATACATGAAAGAGTTTCGTTAGAATTTCGTTAAGTATTATATGAAACAATTTCATAACCATATATGAAACAACTATATCAAAGAAAGTATTATATGAAAAAATTTCACAAGATTAAATAATTTCATGAAAAAATTTCATAAAATTAAACAATGAAATCGACGGATGAGGTTGGTTTGCACAGTTTGTACAAATTGGGTGGTTTGCATTTGATCGCTCCTCTCTCTCTCTCTATACAGAGAGAGAGAGAGAGGTGGATTATTATACAACCCTTTACATTTGTACAACCAATACAACTCAATCTMAACCGTCCATTTAATTTGATGAATATGTAATTTAATAGAAGTTTTGATTGTTTTCTAATATAAAGTATTGATCATAATTAATGAACGTTATTTATCTTCCATAAATATTTAAATCATAATAAATGAAATCTCATTCCATAAATATTTTAATTTATTGAGTTGCATTGGTTGTACAAATGTGATGGATTGCATTTGAAACAAACACTCTCTCTCTAGATATATGTCAAAATAAAATCTCTATATTTTTAAAGTTTAATTTGATACATTGAAAATAGTTTGTACAACAGCGTCTTTCTTGTTAAAGGTTTGATGGTGCTAAACAAACCCTCTTACGATCACAACAATTATTGGAAATGTGAAATGAGGGTTTGATTTTAACATCAGAGGGTGTAGGCGTAAATGGGTTATTCGAGCTTGGCTAAAAAAAACTTCAGATATGAGCTCGACTCAAACTCGAATAACTTTTTCAAACTAGGACTCGAGTAGGCATAGAAATGAG